TCTTTTTCATCAAAGCCTCTTTGGTTTTATAGTATAGAAAATTTATAATGACGTCCCTCGGGGTATTGGTCTCCGCTCTTTGTACCTTCAGCGCCCTGTGGGCTCTCTCCATATGCCAGTGTTCCTCCGAAATGTGTGGAAGGAGGGGCTGGAAGATCGACATTAGCAGCCCTTGTAAGTCTTCCTCTGGCCTTTCTGGTAAGCCTCTCAGGCGGATGTTATTCCTCCTAGAGCGATTGGCCATATCTTCCAGGGCCAGGTCATAGAAACATAGAATGTGACGGCAGATAAGAACCATTCGGCCCATCTAGTCTGCCCAATTTTCTAAATACTTTCATTAGTCCCTAGTCTTATCTTATAGTTAGGATAGCCTTATGCCTATCCCACGCATGCTTAAACTCCTTTACTGTGTTAACCTCTACCACTTCAGCTGGAAGGCTATTCCATGCATCCACTACCCTCTCAGTAAAGTAATACTTCCTGATATTATTTTTAAACCTTTGTCCCTCTAATTTAAGACTATGTCCTCTTGTTGTGGTAGTTTTTCTTCTTTTAAAATAGAGTCTCCTCCTCCTTTACTGTGTTGATTCCCTTTATATATTTAAATGTTTCTATCATATCCCCCCTGTCTCGTCTTTCCTCCAAGCTATACATGTTAAGATCCTTTAACCTTTCCTGGTAAGTTTTATCCCGCAATCCATGAACCAGTTTAGTAGCCCTTCTCTGAACCCTCTCTAAGGTATCAATATCCTTCTGAAGATACGGTCTCCAGTACTGTGTACAATACTCCAAGTGAGGTCTCACCAGTGTTCTGTACAATGGCATGAGCACTTCCCTCTTTCTACTGCTAATACCTCTCCCTATACAACCAAGCATTCTGCTAGCATTTCCTGCTGCTCTATTACATTGTCTGCCTACCTTTAAGTCATCAGAAATAATCACCCCTAAATCCCTTTCCTCATATGTTGAGGTTAGAACTCTATCAAATATTCTGTACTCTGCCCTTGGGTTTTTACGTCCAAGATGCATTATCTTGCACTTATCCACATTAAATGTCAGTTGCCACAATTCTGACCATTTTTCTAGTTTACCTAAATCATTTGCCATTTGGCTTATCCCTCCTGGAACATCAACCCTGTTACATATCTTGGTATCATCAGCAAAAAGACATACCTTACCATCAAGACCTTCTGCAATATCACTAATAAAAATATTAAAGAGAATGGGTCCAAGTACAGATCCCTGAGGTACCCCACTGGTGACAAGTCCAAGCTTCGAATATATTCCATTAACTACAACCCTCTGTTGCCTGTCACTCAGCCACTGCCTTACCCATTCAACAATATTGGAATCCAAACTTAAAGATTGCAGTTTATTGATAAGCCTTCTATGTGCAACAGTGTCAAAAGCCTTACTGAAATCTAGGTAAGCAATGTCTACTGCACCACCCTGATCTATAATTTTAGTTACCCAATCAAAAAAATCAATAAGATTAGTTTGGCATGATCTCCCTGAAGTAAACCCATGTTGTCTCTGATCTTGAAATCCATGTGTTTTTAGATGTTCATCAATCCTATCCTTTAACATGGTTTCCATCACTTTCCCCACTACTGAAGTAAGGCTTACTGGCCTATAGTTGCCCGACTCCTCCCTATTACCTTTCTTGTAAATGGGCACAACATTCGCTAACTTCCAATCTTCTGGGACTACTCCTGTTAACAATGATTGGTTAAATAAATCTGTTAATGGTTTTGCTAGTACACCACTAAGCTCTTTTTTAATAGCTTTGGGTGTATTCCATCAGGTCCCATTGACTTATTTGTCTTTACTTTTGACAGTTGAAATAGAACCTCTTCCTCTGTAAACTCGCGTGTAATAAATGACTCATTTATCCTTTTTCTCAACTGAGGTCCCTTTCCTTCATTTTCTACTGTAAATACAGAACAAAAATATTCATTGAGGCAGTCAGCCTGACCTTTATCCTCTTCTACATACCTTCCTTCTTTTGTTTTTAATCTAACTAATCCTTGTTTTACTTTTCAATAACATGAGCCGTCATGCGGTTCACTCTGTCGACGGCGGTGTTGTGGGCCTGTGTAGTCGCCTCCACACGTTCCTCCAATTTAGCAGTACGCTCTCCCAGGGCGCATATATCTGCCTGTAGTACCGCCGTCGATTTAGCGATCTCCCCCGCAAGGAAAGATCTAACTTCTGCCAGTTTTGTTAGAACAGTATTCTGTTCCGCAGAGAGGGCCTCTCTATCCGCGCCAGGCGATGCGTGTGGGGAACTCCCGTCGCCATCTTGGCTGTCAGCGCGGCTATGCCGAGAAGCTGTGAGAAGGTCTAAAACGGAGCCCCCGGACTCCGTGGTCCTCTTGGGCTGTTTCTTGGGAGGTCTTCTATCCATGATAGGTTATGTGAGGGGGAAAATTTCGTAATTTTAGGTCGCTTTTTGTAGCTGTAGGCGCCGGTGGAACGGAGCTCTAGTAGAACACGTCTGGTCTCATCGACAGTCAGACCACGCCCCCCCGTAAATAAATAATTTTTAACCCTTTATTTAATGAGGGGGGGAGCCAGAGGGAGCGATAGGTTGATTGGAGTCAGAGTTCCCACTCTGAGTACCTCTCCTTCCTCCCCCGCGGCTCTCTGATAGCTGGGAGGAGTGACCGGGGCAGTCACTTCCTCCCAGCAGTGATCTCATCACAGGGGACCCCCTGGAGGTCCATACCCATTGGGTGGCCCTAAGAGCATGGGCCACCCGATGGGCCCCTTGAACGTGCGACCCTGGCGGCTTGCTGTGCAGCCAGGGGCCGCAAAACACGGCGGCTGGAACCTGGTCGCAGGGGTCCGCAGGGCAGATGGGCCCGGTCGCAACTGCGACCCCTATATGTACACCACTGGATGCTTGGACTCTTCTGTTATCCTGCACCTCATACATGCCAAAGATGGAAGTCATTTTCTGTCTCCTATACCAGTGGGAATGCAAATCTGAAAATGGAGCTGAGTCAGCTTTCATGCACCCAGCAAAATGTCTGATCTGGTCTACATTCATAAAAAGGCAGTGACATGAAGCTGAACTAAACTAACAATCAGATAATGTCAGAAGTCACTGATACAGGGATTAAACCTATTCAAGCATTTGCAAAGAGTAACAAACTTATTCAACAAGGAAAACTGGAGTGGGTAAAAGTAAAATTATGGGAAAATCCCTACTATTGAAATTCATATTGACTACCTTGAAATGTTCTAGATTTGGAACAAAAATTGGGGTCAAAATAGCTGAAACTGAAAACATATATAGTGGCCTAAAATGTTAAATTGTCGTTGAATTCACGACAACTTACACTTTAGTAAATAACCATAACAGAGAAAAAGATCTCCGCTTTTAGATAGTCTAGCGATAAAATCAGATCTAATTTTTATTGACGTGGTAAGGTATGTTCCAACCATGGAAGGTATGGGATAGAGACAGAAGGGCCGTTTCAGCCCCACACAGTAGCCCATGTAGATAGTGCTGCTGAAACACTCTCTGCATGGTCCTGCAAAAGATTAGAGCCTAGAGGATCCATTTAGGATGGGTTTAGATTTAAACCAGGTGCATACAAGCCTGTAAAAGAGGATTCGGTGATGTTTCCTGGGAGATAGTTAGGAAGGTTCATCTAAGTGTCATAGACAGTTTTGCAGCTTTTTTGGCATGATTTATTCATTCTTGCGTGTTGTTTTTTTTCCAACCATACCATTTTATTTTTTTAGGCGATAACTGTCAGTTTTTATTTTTCACTATTTTTCCAAAAGCACAAGAGATTTATCAATCTTTACTGGAGGTATTTGAAAGGATGCGACTAATTTTACATACCAATACAAAATCTTAATCATAGAAACAAGTGGACCTACTATAACTGGACACTTGGAGAAAACCAAACATTTCAAGACTCTGAGACTCCTTATCAATAACTTTAATTTGGATATCTTTTTTTAGATAAGTGTGCTGACTCAAATCTGTATGGATCAATCTTTACTAATATCATTAATTATCCAATCATACACGTGGTCCCGTTCTGCTTTTTCCTTCAAGATACTTTTTGCATTTTTGGGCTTTTTGTTTTAGAAACGGACATCTGTGTGGTTAAAGGAACACTGTAGTGTTAGGAATACAAACATGTATTCCTAATGCTATAGTGTTTTCCCATCTATGTAGACGTACCCCCCTCCTCCCTGCCAGGGTTAAAAAAAAAAAAAAAAGTTTAACTTGCTTACACCCTGCAGCACACTGGTCTTCCTGCTGCTGCTCTGCCTTCCTGATTGGGATCATCAAGATTGATGCAATGTTTTCAGTGGCAGAATTAAAAAGACAGGGGCATTACCCCCAGACCACTTCATTGAGAGTCCCTTTAAAGCCCAGTGATCATAAACTTTGTTTCTTGACTTCAGAATTCTCTCAACTAATTTTTTTTTTTTTGGTGTTAATTAATCATTTTATTATTAACATGAGTATTTTAATACATTTTATTTTAAGCTTAAGTACCTTTACTTTTATTGTAAGCTTTTTTTTTTTTTTTGTATTTGTGGCTCCAAAAAAAAGTAGTCAAATTTAGAAAAAGATAATTTTAGACTCTTGTTTTTGGTCTGCATCCTCCTGTAAAATCAGACACTTTACAGATCACTTTGATAAATCCACCCAATACCTCACAGAAACATTACATAGAAATGTGGAAATAATTAAAAATGTATCCAAATAGCTTTACTCAATTCTCCATAATAAATAATTTGGTGTATCTGTGTGTATGCGGTGTGGTTTGTGTGTGTACACTCATGCACATCTCCCAGCTATGGTACTCACAGCAGGAGACATATCAGTTGGAGAACTTAAAGTCTGACTTGTCCCCAACGGACCTTTCACCCCCTGGCAGTGAACAAGTTAATTTAAAAAGAGCTATAAAACCTTCATTAAAGAAACAAATAAAGGAATTTCTAATCCCACACCGGATGGACTGAGAGTCTTTGAACAACAGGAACCAGTGTCCCTCAGTCAGCATGTTAGCGCTGGTGGCTTCCTTCCTGACCACGCTGTGGATTTTATTGGGCTGTTAACGCTCCGTGCTCCGGGTGACAGGGCAACGAAGCTCTTTTCAGCTTGTTCCTTGTTATTATTCAGAATTATGCTTCAATAGGGTAACAATCATGTTTAAATGAGCAATAAAACAATGTAGGGCTAATCTCCGTGCAGTGGCGGAACCAATAAAAGTGGTCCGTGGACTGCACTGCCTGTAGTTCTGCTCCTGTTTCCATGGTATCAGTAACATTTACTGACAAATCACTAAAATGGCTGTTGCCATTGCAAGACAGTAAACAATTACATGAAGCCCAAAGTATATAAAATTAGAGTTATGTGATATCACACCGCACATAAAGTGTGAAACAAATGCAAAATACGTTTCCTGTTGCACAATACAAAACAATTATTAGAAAGCTCACCCTAATGCAGAGAGGTTTTTGCCCAATACAGATAGAGTTAATGTAATTTAATAAATATGTGGGTAAACACTGAAGGGGTAGGGGAAATCCAGCATTGTAAGACGAACAAAGCTTGAGTACCCTTATTTCAGTCTTCAATTTCCTTCTCCCTCCACCACTCCAAAAAAGCCCACCCCATCTGTTCCCTATTAAGGTGTAGCAGGCTTCATTCCCTTGTGTTCAGTTGTCTGTACCCCCTGGTTCGTCTCCCGAATAACTAGTGTGTGGTCCCCCTTTTTAGACCTCAGCGAACACCGACCTCCTCTGGCTGTTATCAACAACTTGACAAATTAGCTTGAGTGCCTTCCCTGGGTGGCCGCCATTTGTATAAACAAATGCACGTGGTCCAGTGGCCATTTTGTCTCCCAAACACAGGCAGCGGAACATGGTCATCGAACTCCTGGAACTGTTTTTGGCCACGCGAGTCCATGTACCCGGACAGAGTTTGTACCGATGCCTGTTCAACTTCCCGACCATCTAGACAAACGATGTTCAAGAGATATGATCTACCGACTTGGGGGAGCATTCCCTCCCTAAAAGAAAGGGGGAACGTTCGTCTGTGTTCACACAGCAACCCCCGAAAGCCGGCCGGTCAACCTGACCAATTCTCTGGAACTGTTTTGGGCTATCACCTCATGGCCGGTCGGTCAAAACTTTACTCGAATAGCAATTCGTTCTAGTGAACCGATCTAAGCCCTTTCAAGATATCTTGGGCACTCAGATCAGAGCTATTCGGGGACATGATTTTTGTGGTGTTTCTGTGCTGTTTTCATGTATTTTGGGGGTATTGTAGAAATATTGTACAAGTTTCTTTGTTTGAGAGATAATTGAGTTATCCTAATTTGAGCTCAATTATCTCTCAACACAAAGGCTCCTGGGAAGAAACCCCTGTATTCTTGATGTGTAAACCCCATTCAAGTGGCCAGTGCATAAAAACTGTGTGTCGCAGAATGCCTCAGCAAACACCGACCTCCCCTGGCTGTTAACAACAAAGCAATAACTTGACACGTTAGCTTGCGTGCTTTGCCTGGGTGGCCGCCATTCTTATAACCGAACGCACGTGGTCCAGTGGTCTTTTTGTCTCCCAAACACAGGCAGCGGTACATTGTCGTTGAAGGCCTGGAACTATTTTTGTCCACAAACCTGGACAGAGTTCCGCCCGCTGCCCGTTCAACTTCCCAACCATCTAGACAAACGACGTTCAAGAGATATGATCTATCGACTTGGAGGAGCATTCCCACCCTAAAAGAAAGGGGGAACATTCTGTGTTCACACAGGAACCCCTGAAAGTCGACCGGTCATCCTGACCAATTCTCTGGAACTGTTTTGGGCTATCACCTGGCCGGTCATTCAAAACTTTACTTGAATAGCAATTCCGTTCTACCGAACCGATCTGAGTGCTTTTTGGATATCTTGGACACTTAGATCAGAGCTATTCGGGGACATGATTTTTGTGGGGTTCCTGTACTGTTTTCATGTATTTTTGGGATATTGTAGAAATATTGGACAAGTTTCTGTGTATGAGAGATAATTGAGTTATCCTTATTTGAGCTCAATTATCTCTCAACAAAAAGGCTCCGGGGAACAAACCCCTGTATTCTTGATGTGTAAACCCAATGCTAGGGGCCAGTGCATAAACGCCGTGTACGACAGAATAAAATTCAGTTGTACTCCCAGAACTGTCGTCCAGTTACTGGGGAGGTGGGCTATTCACTTGGCAGTTTCTTGTTCCTGAGTTCCAGTATTGATGATCCAGCGGAGGAAAGTCCCGGTGAGGACTAGGGCTCCTCTACATAGGAGTTAATAAGTATGTAGGGGTATATAAACATACCCCTCTCTGTCTCGTTAGAGATTTTGTTCCTGATGCTGAAAGAAGCAAGGTGAATTGTTAGTGTAGGACCCACCTAAGAGGTTTGTCTTGACGTGGCAGGTGAGCTTACACTTAAATGGCCACTTGAGTGATACTAAAAACCCCCAGTTATTTAAATATGCATAGGGATTTGGGATATTGCACAAGTTACTATTTTGTCAGTTTTTTATTGAATGTATTAGGGCTGATGTGTACTAT